GGACTAGGAACAGCCTTCTCTCTCAGGGGAAGTGCCTTGCTTCAGGCCGACTGTGATCACGTACATTCTGTTTCATTGAAAGACCTCACGGACAACTTTATTTCCCAGCTCTTTGTACGTTTTATTTTATTTTAATTTTTTAAAAAAATAATATTTTTATTGATTTCGGAGAGAGGGAGATGAGAGAGAATTATTGATCGTCTGCCTCCTGCACACCCCCAACCGGAATAGAATCTAGGACCCTTTAGTCCGCAAGCCGACGCTCTATCCACTGAGCCAAACCAGCTAGGGCTGTACATTTTAAATGGTGATTTTCACTGCTCTGCGTTGAATGACATATTGCACCAGGTGTCTTTTTTTTTAAATCATGACCCATTAAACTTTACCTAAGACTCTTTTTAAATATATTGTTATTTATTTCAGAGAGGAAGGGAGAGGAAGAGAGGGGTAGAAACACCAACGATGAGAGACAATCATTGATCAGCTGCCTCTTGCACACCCCACACTGGGGAGCCAGCCTGCAACCCGGGCCTGTGCCCTGACCAGGAATCAAACTGTGACCCAACCCCTGAGCAACACCGGCCTGGCTGCACCAGGTGTCTTGAGTGAAATTTACCTTTTCCATCTATACGGCAAGGTGTTCTTTTTCTCCTCAACACTTAAGGAGATTAACTTTGACTCTTGTTACTTACCTTTAACCTAGAGCTACCTCCAGTTACCAGGGACACTGATACTTGTCGTAAAAGAAACCAAGAAAAAGGCGGCAATTGTTGAACAGCCAAACTGGCTTAGACCGGATCCCAAGGATCACTAACGCTCTTTAAATTGGAACCAGTGGCCCCACGTTTCTTAGTGAAGCAGTCATTCCAGAGGAAGCCAAGTGGTTACAATTACCCTTGTACTTGAATCGTTCAAACCTACAATTGAAAAAAATAGTCCATTTACCGACTAAGTGTGTATTCAATATTTTTGCAATTTACTCAGTACCTTTGTGCTTTGACTTTGCATGTGACGGTGCTTCTTAGAGGCAGCAGGAGGAGCAGGGGTTTGGAAATCGAACGACTTTGCTCCTTTCTCGGTACTTTTTTTATCTCGCAGCCAGAAGGCAACAATCAATCAAGGCCTTTGGGGGGAAAACGCTGCCCTCTGTCTACTGAGTGGCTGAGTGCTCCCTGCTCTAAAAATTGGCAAAACGACAGAAAATAGGCAAAACCCACGCAGGGGAGGGAAGGCCTGGCCTTCGAGGATGGGTGTGGGGAAGGTTCGGTGAAATGAACGGCCCCGAGGTTGGGGACGGCTCTCATCGTGTGAGGAGACGTTCACAACAGGGTCCTGGGACCCACACACCTCGCCTGTGGGCTCAGCGTTGCCATGGAAACACGTTCGCTGTGGCTGGCATCATCCTAACGTGACATGGTCCCTCCCTGAAGAGGGCCTTGAACCGTTCACCGAAGGGAGAGTGTGCAGTAGTTAATATCGTCTTTGTGTTTTCTCCCCCAACAGCCCCCAAAGGTACTGCGGAGAGCACTTCTCATAGACAGGTGAGTGTGTCTCGACTTTCACCTTCATAACCTGCTGGTTCACTTATAGGCAATAAACATTGAGGGTTCTGCAGATTTGGAAAGTAAAGCACCTTCCAAGAAAAAAAACCCCAAAACACACAATCCAGACAAGGCGCATGCCTGTCTGCCCTGATCAGATTCTGTCAGAAATCAGCAAGTTGGCCCTCGCTGGTGTGGCTCAGTGGATAGAGCGTCGGCCTGCGGACTGTAGGGTCCCGGGTTGATTCCGGTCGAGGGCACATGCCTGGGTTGCGGCTCGATCCCCAGTGTGGGATGTGCAGGAGGCAGTTGATCCATGATTCTCTCTCATCATTGATGTTTCTCTCTTCTCTCCCTCTTCCTTCCTCTGAAATCAATAAAAAATATATTAAAACAGAACAACAACAAAAAGAAATCAGCAGGTTAAGTCAATGGGAAGATTTTGCCTTAATTTTCCTTTTTACTATTTGAAATTTCAATTACTTTATTATCGTTATTTGTAAGTCGAGTCCTCTTGTGGACATAAATGCTTGATTGGAAACCATTCTCCGAGGTTCGGTCTGTATTTCTGACGTGTTAGGAAGGAGATGAGGGACAGGGCACGCCCTGGGGGGCCAGGGGCACCTCCCTTTGCATCGAGGGGCCCTGAGGGGTGTCAGCTCCCTGCTGCGTGTGGTGAACACTGTGTCTGTGAGTCTGTCTCCGCGCTCAGTTGGAGGCCATCGCGGTGTCCCTGCCACAACCACCCCGGGCCCAGGACACTGTCCAGACAAACAGGAGCGGCCCGTGTCCCCCGAAGCCGGGCCGAGCCTCCATTCCCAGGACCAGGCATCGGAGCGTCCTGTCTCCCCCGTTGGGTGCGGCCGCATCCCCTCGGTGAGCCCCGCATCGGGTGTGGGTTCAGAGCGGAGGCCTCCAGCACACACCTTGGGTGTAACTTGAAACCAGTTCATCAGACAGATGTGTGATACGGTTTTCGTTGTTTAGCAAATGTTTACGGCTTTAACTTTTAAAAATCCCACCGCAAATCACTTGCATGTGGGAGCAGGGCCGGCTGAAAGCCATTAGGCTGGCACACGCCCAGTGTGCGGGGGTTATGTCGTCAGAGAAGGCGGGGTGGGTCCACGCAAGCCCCCCTCGACCTGAGGAGCCCCATTCGGAACAGGAGCTCGCCTCCCAGGCTTTTCCCGGAGAAAGAAACTGGAGCAGGTAACTCTCCAGCTTGCATGCTGCCCGAGAGGTTGCAGGGCTCCGTGCCATCGTCCAGGGCTGTTCGCCTGAAAGTGCCAGGCGGCTTGGCTGGCATCGACCCAGTGATCCAAGCCCATCGATATTTCCCCAAAGAGCACAGTAGCTCCAAGCGCCTCCGTCCTTCCTCATCTGAATAACGGAGACGAGAGGATTGCACGGGGAGAGAGGAGGACGAGCGAGCTAGTCCTCGATCTGAAAGTGAGCGGTCTCTCTTGGTCCCGTCTCCAGTTTCCATGGGGATTCAGAAGTGGGCGGCACCCTCAGGCGGTGGGTGGGGTGATGCTAGAGCCACTGCCTGTAGCACCTGGGCCCGGCCCAGGGCCTGGGAAGCACCTAGAGAAAGGGTTCCTCCTCTCACGGCGGGACATCCCCTCCCCATCCCACTCGCATCTCCATCCCGAGTGTCGCCCACCGGAAACGCCCTCAACATCCAAGACCATTCTGAACGATGAGGCAGAGGCATGGAGCTCCTATGTGGTAGGAGTTGGTCCACATGAAAAAAATGGCCAGGAACACTGCTCCCAGCTCTTCCTTTCTTTCTGGATTGCTTTCAATTGGCAGTCAGAATGCAGAGCTTGAGTAGCTTAAACTTTTAACATATATTTTTATTGATTTTTAGAGAGAGAGGAAGGGAGAGGGAGAGAGAGAGAGAGAAACATTGATGAGAGAGAATCACGGATCGGCTGCCTCCTGCACGCCCCACACTGGGGATGGAGCCACAACCTGGGCATGTGCCCTGATGGGTAATCGAACCCTGACTTCCTGGTTCACAGGTCGATGCTCAACCACTGAGCCACGCTGGCTGGGCAGAACTTGAGTAATTTAAACAAACTTTGCTCAATGTATTTCTTCTGAGAGGTAGTGACTAAAACGAATGAAAAGAAAAGTTAAGAAACCAAGGATGCCTTTATCGAATTGGAAGCACAATTAGATTATTGAAATGATTTGTATATTGATCCAAGGGAACTTCTGCAGGGTGTTTGATATGTGGAGCCCACTTACAACATTAGGAGCAAAGGCTCATTTTCTCACCCAGCATGTTCCCCCAACATTTCTGATCCTTGAGGGGAGGACGGTGGTAGAAGGTAAGTGCCCAGAAGGTCCTCGTTGTCTTTTATGTATTAACCAGAGGCCCAGTGCATGAAATTCGTGCACCAGAGGGCAGGGGGTCCCTTAGCCTGGCTGGCACCCTCTCACAGTCTGGGATTCCTCGGGGGATGTCTGCCTGCCGGCTTAGGCCCCATCCCTAAAGCCTAAGCCGACAGTCAGACATCCCTCTTGTAGTCCGGGACCCCTCGCTCCTTACCACCTGCCTGCTCGCTGCTCCTTAGCACTTCCGTGGAGGCGGGAGAGGCTCCCACCACCGCTGCTGCGCTTGCCAGCTGTGAACCCGGCTTCTGGCTGAGTGGCGCTCCCCCGTGGGAGCGTACTGCCACCAGGGACAGCTCCTGTGTTGAGCATCTGCCCCCTGGTGGTCAGGGCACATCATAGCGACCAGTCATTCTGCTGTTTGGTCAATTTGCATATTAGGGTTTTATTATATAGGATCATCGCAGCCAAAATCACACTGTTTAAAAGATCGCTTTCCCCTGGTTGTCAGCAGACAGGATTATTTCCTTCCCGGGAGGCAGGCCTTCGTCACGGACGAGGGATAAGAAGGTCTCACACTATCTTTCTGTCTCCTTTCCAGCCCAGGAACCGAGGATAAGAGACGGCGGCCGAGGCGCCTGAGACGTGTGGGAGGCTCCCTCACCAAACGCAATTAAAAAACAGAAACAAAACCCATAGTATTTGCACTTTGTACTTTAAATGTAAATCCACTTTGTAGAAAGGAGATATTTAAACGGACTACTTTAATCTGTGAAAAGGGAGGGGCTGGCTTCGGCAGGTTAATCACATACAATGTATGTGTCCCTGTGACCGTGGACATCTCCGCTGTTCGGGGTGGGCTTCCACTTGCTCTCTGGGTCCCCTGGGTGTCCGCGTGGCGGACAGCGGCTCGGGCACAGCGGCTGCAGCCGTGGCTCCTCCCTGGCACAGGATGGGGCCCACAGGCACTCAGCTTCCTCCGGCCGCTGCTCTGAGACCAACCGTGCTGGCAGCCTCGGGTCGCTGTGGGAGCTCACACTTTGGTCTGTAAGGTTTGCCGTCAGCCGCCGGCCTGGCATGCAGGTGGCGCGTGCCGGGCTGCGTGTCTCTGGGACCTGGTCCCTTTGTTCTGCTTTCTCGAGGTCTCGCTCCCGTCACGTTGGCAACCACAACAGCGGCGATGATGGGGTCTGGGGGACAGTCCCCGACACCTTCGTGGGCCTGCTCTGCCACCTCAAGGTTGGCCGCAGGCAGTGAAATCAACGCTGGGGGACTCCCTCCTCCCTGCGCTGGCCCCAGGTAGCGGGCAGGATTCAAGGTCAGAGAGGAGTTGGCATCAGGCCACAACTGCCATCTGCCCACCTCTTCCCTTCCACCTGGCCTTGCCCTCCCGGGGCCCCTGGAAGGTGGACTGTGCCCTGAGCAGCTCCCAACAGTCTCCTTAAAGGAGGCGCTGGGATAGCTGGGCGCTGGGTGGCGCGCCCTCGGCAGGCAGGGCCTGGGCCCGATTCCGTCTCCTCCTCATTCTTTCCTGAAGGCCCTGAGGGCACAAGAACTTGTCACTGGGCCAGTCCTCTGGGGGGCACTGGGGAGGGACTGATCAGGACCGGATGCTCACACCGAGAGCCACAGAACCGGCCCCTGTACAGCCAGGGGCCACTGTCCAGCTGGACCCCGTACTGAGCGGCCACGGCTCTGCGGCCCCTGGGAGGCCGGCGGGGGCTGCGTGTGACCAGCCGTGAGGCTGGCTCGGCTCCGACGTGTGGTCGGAAAAACACCTCCGTGGGCCTCACTCCCCAGCACGTGGCGGACACCGACCCCTGCGAATAGGCGTGAAGACGGCGGCTTCTCCCTGTTTAATGTGCAGAGTGAAAGCTGAACCTGGAGCCGCTAAACCCTCACCGTTGCTAAGGACACAATTACGCTCCTAAACTTATTGGATAATCTTTTCTATTTCTGAACTTTGGACTTAATCGTTTTTCTTAGATTGAAATAAAAGATGCTGTCAAGACCGTCCCTCTTCTCTTCCTTCCGGCTGAATGCACAGGGTTGCACTTGCTTGACGTTGGGGTGCCCCCTGGGGGAGGCACGGAGGAGGCTGGGCCCGACGCTTTGGAGTCTGGCTCCGCCCCACGGGGGTGTGACGAAGGGCAGTTGCTGAACCTTTTCCCACCTCGGTTCCCTGTGGACGGTGGGACGCACCTGGGCGAAGGCTCTCTGGGTCCGTGTGCGACGCGCCCTGACTGTGAAACAGCCCTGCGCTTGCTCGGTGAGTCCCAGCCCTGCCCGTGACTCTCCCCTGCTGCCCGCTGCTGCGGGGACCATAGGGGAAGCAGAAGAGGCTCTGATTTTGACGGAAGCAGGTGCTGTTCCCTGAGTCACACGCTCCAGGTCTGGGCCTGCCCCTCTCTTCTCCGGCCCGGGCCCTGTCCTGGCCAGGCCCCCTCATGTTCCCCTTGGGCCGTTGCTGTGGCTCTTGCCTTCTTCCTGTCCCAGTGGTGCTGAGACGTGGCTGACACCCTGCACGGTCTGAGTGCACAGTGCACAGCGCAGCGCCCCCCTCATGTTGTGAAACGACTCCCATGAGTTTAGGTCCGTCCGTCCTCACAGGGACAGACAGCAGTTGCTTCCTGGTGCAGAGGACGTTCGGGTTTCCTTTCTGTGGTGCCACGTGCGGTGGCAGCGACGGCCGCCACGCTGTGCTTCATGCTGATGCTCCTGGTGCCAGGCTCCGCAGGCCCTCACCCTGAGCTGCTCCCAGAAGAGGGGTCCCCGTGAACCCATCTCAGCGCGTCGTGTGCAGTAAGGATGATCCCCGAAGCGGGTTAGGAGAAAGGCAGCAGGACACCTCGGGGAGGTAGGGCTGGGACTGGTCGGAGCGGGTGGGAGGGGATAACGTGTCCGTGTCCAGGAGGCTGCGAGCCTGTGGGAGGGGCGGGCGGCGG